ACACATAAACATAAAAGAATTAGCAGTACTGTAGTCCTATTCTTTTTGGTTGCAAACCCAATTTTAAAAAACATGTCGTTTCTGTTTGCCATGGACAACAGAACGGCAGTGCTTTGTCTCAATCATCAAGGCTCAACCAGATCTTGTCCCCTTTTCACACTGTAAAAAAAAATAAAAATAAAATAAATAAATAAAAAAAATAAAAATAAAAAATCAAAGCTTGTGTAACACAAACACTATAGTATAATCTGGTTTTACGCGGTTAATTAAACCCATGGAGATCTGTGTATAAAGCGAAATGTGTAAATAAAATAACAGAACTTATGGGATTAATTGAAATAGAGACTGGGCCTCCTGCCAGACTACCCTTTTTTTGGCTATCGCCGACACAGTACTGTACTGTACATTGTAGTGAAAATAACATCTTAATTTTATGATGGTATGCACACACACAATTAATATATAAGAGAAATATCAATAATATTAGGTTTTTTAACACTTACGTTAGTACAGTAGAAGAGATGGTTGGGCACACGGGGATGGGGGGTTGGTTCCGAGGCAGAGGGCAGATTATTGGCCCTCACCTGTTTCTCTATCCACCACAGAGGCTAGCAGGGCCTCCTCTTCAAACCCCTCGAAGTCCATATCCTCACTATCACTGACTTGGACTGGCTGTGGTGGTTGGCGGGTGAGGAACTCGGTGATGTTTTGTTGACTGCTAGCATTGATGTGATAGTGATACAGCTGAACATAAGGCTCCAGAGATTGCAACAGAAGGTTATTAGACACTTCGTAGCGATGATTGACTGGGTCTTTCTCAGCTGACTCGATGACCCCCTTCACATCACCATGTGTTAGTTTCTGCTCTTGTTGTTCTGTAACACCTGGCTGCTCACTGACGTCATCATCTTCCAACATCCCGTCCGCAGTCACCTCAGGTTTCCTGATTACCTCCAGGATGTCCTCGTTGGTGGTCTTGGAGAAGCCTGCAGCTCTAACACCTTGTGCAGCCTCTCGTTCATTCTCCAATGCCACAGCAACAGACTGAGCCTCGCCAGCCACCTCTTGCCTCTGCCTCCCACCTGGGATACCCTCCAACACATGCCGCCACACGTGCCGAATCGTTGCCACAGATAGCTGCCCCCATGCCTCTACCAAGAAATCAACAGCCTTCTTCACATTAAACAGCTTCCAGAACTGCTTGAGCCGCACTTCATGGTCCGCCAAATCTTGTTCGTGTTCCTCGTCCTCGCTCTCGCTGTCAGTGCCACTCTCTAGGTTCTGCAGTTCATCCTTGATGTTGGTGAAGTCATTCAGGAGCCGAAACTTCTTGGCAGAGATAGCAGCCTTAACGTTGCAAGTCAACTCCTGATCCATGGGCTGGATTAACGACGTAGTCTTAGCGGGAAGGAAGACCACTTTTACGTTGGGGTGACGATCCAGCAAAAGGGGCGAGTGTCCTGGTGCGTTGTCAAGGAGCAACAAAATGTTGAATGGCACATTAACATCCACGCTCATGTCCATATTCTTGTAGGCATGCAGCTTGCCTGCTTTGTGGATCACAGACAACTTCAGCTTAGCAGTGCCAGAGGCATTGGTGGTGAACAGTACGGTGATGTGCTCCTTCTGCATTTTGTGATCCTGACACGTGCTAGCAGACTTGACTACGAAGGTCTTGGATGGCAATTTCTTCCAATACAACACTGATTCATCTATATTGAACACTTGGTCGTCGGTGTACTGACCTTCCAACATAATTTCCTGTAAAAATGGGGGAAAATTCCTGGCAGCAGCCCGGTCGGCACTTGCTCCTTCTCCGACTATCTCAATATTCGTGATCTTGTTGCGTCGTTTAAAACCTTGCAGCCACCCAGCGGAAGCACTGAAGGGCTTGGGCTCCGCAACCCCCATTTTTCTTGCTACTGCTATGTAGAGTTCCCGGACGTAGTTCTGCAGTGCCCGAGTGTTGACCGCCATGTTCCTTCTTGACTGACGAATAACGTAGTTTACCAACAAACTCTCGCTCTTCAACAGCACCTTCATACCCCTCGTAACACCATCTGTGAGGGAAATACTCCACCACGCCAAGCCCCTCATAACACCACCTGTGAGGGAACTACTACTCCACGTGATGCCCCTCATAACGCCATCTGTGAGGGAGTTACTACACTACGTGTCTGCTGTTCAACACCTCAGTTCACATGATCTACGTGACCTCCACTGTGAACATAAATCTGTATGTTCACTGTATGTTCCTTCACCTTTCTCTAATGAAGGCTTTTGTTAAACCACCAATGTATGTGATAAGTAATTTATGTCCAATGTATATTTTCAGCCTTCGGGCTGGAGAACTTTTTTAATAAACCGTTTATTATTATTATTATTATTATTATTATTATTATTATTATTATTATTATTATTATTATTATTATTATTATTATTATTATTATTATTGTTATATTTCACCAGCGAGAAACCTACAGACTTGGTAATGTTCATGTGTTCATTGATTTTGCCGGCATCCTTCTTGATAGTGCGGATCGTCGATTCATTCACTACATATTGTCTGGCCAGATCCACCTGTCTCGTGCCTTTTTCTAACTCCTGGACGATCTTGTACTTTATCTCATAGCTTAAGGCACATCGCACCTCTTGGGCTTGGTCCAAGTAGTTCAGGGCTTCTCGGGGGTGGTGGGGGTCCAGCGGAAGCCGTTGTGTAGAAAGAAAAAACAAAACCGGTTCCTGGGCACGAGTGAATATACGCGGGGACAGTGAGACTGACGCAGCGGTGGAGAGTGGGGGTGGCAAGGATAACTAGACCAATCACAGAGCGCGGCGGAGGGGGTGCGTGGGTGGTAAGGCTACGTGGGCGCTGATGTCAGTGGTGACGTCAGCGCCCAGCACCTTGCCCTGCTGCTTGCCGCGTATATGATGGTATTTACCGCGTAAATGGCCTCCGCGTAAAACCAAACTATACTGTACCTCAAAGCACCTCACATACCGGGAGTACAAAACAATTGGCAGATGCATTGTTCTGTCTCAGGCCAGTATCGACGTAAACAGAATGATCCCTAAAGATATCGAAGTTCAAGAGTCTAGTGAGGAGGTTTGGAACTCCACAAATAGAGATCTTTGCCTCACATAACAATCACAAGATGCCAACTTATGCATCTCTGGAACTATCGAATCTTTTAGGAAATATTCTACTCATAGATTGGAACAGTTGGAATTCAATCCATCTGTTCCCACCTGTGAAAATGTTGCCCAAAGTGGTTCACAAACTCAGATCCTTCCAGGGGAAAGGTCCTCTTAATTGCACCATATTGGATCCTACATCCGTGGTGTTTGGGTCTGTTGGACTGGTGCCTGCATCCATTACAATTGCAACAAGGATGTCTAGAACAGGTACTGCACCCTCAGTTCGAGATATCCTTGGCATTTCACGTTTGGAGTTTCTAAAAATATGTTTAAATAGATTGTTGGGTAATTCCAATATAGTTAACCAAGTGGTAGCAGGTCATAGACCCCAAACTTCTATGAGAAAGCTTATCAGGTTAACGACTCCAGACACAGTCGGAAACAGTGGTTTTAGAATTTTTAGATTCTCTGTTGAGAGTTAAGGGGCCTTCAAGGATCTACAATTGCATCTTATAAATCAGCATTGGTTGACCCTCTGGTGTGGGGTTTTAATATTACTTTGAACCCAAGAATTTATCAAATGCTCAGATCATCCTTTTTAATTCAGAGACCCCCTTGGCCCAAGAGAATCCCACCTTGGTCTCTAGATAAAGTTACTAAATTTCTTATGGGGCCTAAATACAATATAAATATGAACTGGGACAGATTGATCTAGAAGGCAGCCTTCCTTCTAGCAATAGCAACAGGTATGAGAATCAGTGAACTGATTTCAATTTCCAATAATCCATCATTATTGGTATTTTCTGAGAAACATGTCACCCTCTTTCCTATGGAGATTCTAAGAAAAAATGAAAGAGAAATTTTCAAGCTCAACCTATCAGGATAAAATGGCTAATGGATGAGATAAGGGTTCCTCATATATTGTGCCCAGTTAAGAATCTTCAAGAATGGTTAACCAGATTCCCTAATCGAGGCCCATATGTATTCTCACAGGATGGTAAGAAATTGTCTCCTAGTCAAATGACAAAATATTTATCTCAGTTAGTGAGTCAAGCAGACCCTGGCAAAATATTTTTGGCACATTACACCAGGAAATATGCAGGGTCTGTGGCTTTTCTGCAGCATATGAGCCTCAGTCAGATCAAAGAAGTGGGCTTTTGGAAATCTTCAAAAACCTTTCAAAATGGCTTTCTTCATTTATCTCTGAAAGATGCTTCACATGGGGTGGTGCTGGGGTCCCCTACCTCACCTAGTTAATCTCCACAACCATGACCTTCTTCCTCATCAGAGTACAATGAGTATCCTAATTGGGATATATAAGTTAACATTTTACCCTCCGGTAAATGTTCCCAATACCCCTACTGTATTGGAAAAAAATTCAAAAAGTTAATAATTATAATCTGGACCTAAGCTAGCAGAGTCTTATACGCAATGTAACCTCCCTCTCCACCTCCTGTTCTGATAATCAAAGCTAGACACCACATTCTGGGTTGAACAAGAAGTCTTTTTTTTTTCTAAAAACCAGTTTTTGTGATATAGTCCAGAATGCGACGTCGACATCCCACCCATCTCCACCCACGAGAGTTGACATTTGTTTACTGCTCGTTCTAGGGCAACAGATAACGGTAGCAATGCGTGTGATGAAGGGTGCGGGAGGGGGTTTTGAGAATTGCAATTAAATGCCAGGAAGCGACGTGTCCTAATATTACGTATTTAAGTAATTATTAGATGTTTTAATTGCCTGTATGTTGGCCTGGCGAGCTAATGTTAGGCATTTACATACTTAGGTATAAAGCTAGACGTCGCATTCTTTTCTATGTCACACCTGTTTCATAATTTTATTATGCTATTTCTTATTACAGTCGACTGGCCATCGTTGATATCACGGGACTACTTACATTCTTAGATCTGGACACTCGCTCATCGGACAGTAGTGGCTCTGAAGTAAGTCCCTGTAATTGTAATGGAAATTTACTTTCCTCTTTCTTTAGAATATATCTGTTCCGGTGTTCAAATGAGGATGATCTAATTTGAAAGTCTTTCAAACACCATTGTCTTTGCTATTTTTTATATTTTTTATTTTATTTTTTTTCAAGTTTAGTGAGGGGTGAATGCAGATAGCAACATGACATGCAAAGTGTCTCAACCAACATTGTGCCCCTTACTTTGGGGTTTGCTGTGCATCTTACAGTAATTTCCCCATTAGCTGGAGCAATTGGTGCAGAGCATTTCCTGGTTTGAGAGATTTCAAGGTACAGTAAAATCTCGATGATACGAGTAGATACGAGTTGAAAAACAGCCATAACACCTCACAGCATGGCCCAGTAGCCTGCCTGGTGGTTGCTGTATATCGAGGACTTACTATATTTTGTTTAATAACTGACTGATACAGTCTTGCAAAGCTTAAGCCAATGTTTATCAGAGACACATTTCTTCTAATCAGTTTTTGTTTTCAAGGAGATATATGTTGGGACACATGGCAAGGTTGTGTATGGACAATTGGTGGCAGGTCTTAAGTGTGAGGAAGGTTTACTTGGCTTTGCCTCCATGAATTTTACATATACAGTATAGTCTGCATTTACGCGGTCAATTGAACCCGTGGAGGTCCGCGTAAAACGAGAAACGCGTAAACAAAATAACAGAACATATGGGATTAATTGAAATAGAGACTGGGCCGACCCCCAAACTCCACATTTTCCGACACAATACGTACGTTGAAGTAAAAATAGTATCTTAATTTTATGATGGTATGCACACACACATAATATAGAAGAGAAATATCAATAAGAGAATAATATACTGTACCAGGTAAAAGAAAAATCAATGTTTAACACTTATGTTAGTAGAAGAGATGGGTCGGCATACGAGGATGGGAGCTGGTTCCGAGGCAGAGGGCAGATTAGTGGCCCTCAGCTGAATCACTATCACTATCCACCACAAATGTCAGGGCCTCCCTCACAAACCCCTCAAAGTCACCATCACTGTCACTATCACTGACTTGGGCAGGCTGTGGTGGGTTGCGGGCGAAGAAGTTGGTGATGCTACGCTGACGGCTAGTGTTGATGTGGTCGTGATACACCTTGATGTACTGCTCCATACTTTGGTCGAGAAGGTTATTGAAGACTTCATACCGGTGATTGACAGGGTCTTTGGAAAGAGTGAGCTTGAGTTTCTCGGCAAACTCGATGGCATCCTTTACATCACCATGAGTTAACTTCTGTTCTCTTGCTGCCGCACCACCTGCCTCCTCACTGATGTCATCGTCTTCCAACATCTCGGTGGCAGTCACCTCAGGATCCCTGATTACCTCCATGATGTCGTCGTTGGTGGTCTCGGAGAAGCCTGCAGCTGTAACACTCTGTGCAGCTTCTCTTGCAAGGTCCACTGCCACTGCAACAGACTGAACCTCACCAGCCACAGGTTGCCTTTGCCTCCCACTTGGGATACCTTGCAACACATGCTGCCACGCGTGACGAATCGTTGCCACAGACAGCTGCCCCTATGCCTCCACCAAGAAATCAACAGCTTTCTTTACGTTAAACGTTTTCCAAAACTGTTTAACTCGCACTTCATGCTCCGCCAACTCTTGTTCTGGATCCTCGTCGTCGCTTTCGCTATCTGTGCCACTCAGAAGGTTACGCAACTCATCCTTGGTGTTGGTGTAGTCGTTCAGGAGCTTAAACTTCTTTGCGGAGAATGCAGCCTTCACGTTGCATATCAACTCCTGGTCCATGGGCTGGATTAACGACGTAGTGTTGGGAGGAAGGAAGACCACTTTTACACTGGAGTGATGATCCAACAGTAGGGACGAGTGTTCTGGTGCGTTGTCAAGCAGCATCAAAATGTTGAATGGCACTTTATTTTGCGCGCAGAATTTCTTCACGTCAGGAATGAAAGAGTCGTCAAACCAGGAGAGGGACAGACCAGTAAACATCCACGCCTTACATGAGGTTAGCCAGTGGACATTTAGCTTGGTCATGTCCATGTTCTTGTAGACGTGTGGCTTATGGGCTGTGGATCACCAACAACTTGAGCTTACAAGTACCGGAGGCATTGGTGGTAAACATGACGGTTATGCGCTCCTTCTGCAACTTCCGGCCATGACACTTGCTGGCAGACTTGACGACGAAGGTCTTGGAAGGTAATTTTTTCCAAAACAGACCGGATTCGTCCATGTTGAACACCTGGTCGTCGGTGTACTGTCCTTCCTCCATAACTTCTCGTAAGAATGGAGGAAAATCCAGGGCGGCAGCACGGTCAGCACTGGCTCCTTCACCAACAATGTTAATGTTGGTTATCTTGTTCCGTTTCTTAAACCCTTGCAGCCAACCAGAGGAAGCAGTGAAGGGTTTGGGCTCTGCAATTCCCATCTTGTACGCCACTGATGAGTACAGTTCGTGAGCGTAGTCCTGCACTGCCCGCGTGTCCACAGCCATGTTATGTCTTGCTTGACGAATTAACTAGCTCACCAGTAAGTTCTCAGTCTTGAGCAGCACCTTATTCTGACAATACTTCACCATTGAAGCACCTGCAGACTTTGTGATGCTCATGTGCTTTCTAATCTTGGCGGCATCCTTCTTGATTGTCCGGATCGTAAATTCGTTCACTCCAGGCTGGCATGCCAAATTAACTTGTCTCGTTCTTTTCTCCAACTCTTGCACGATTTTGTACTTAACTTCGTAACTTAGGGCACGTTGTATCTTCTTCGCTTAGGGCACGTTGTATCTTCTTCGGCTTGGGGTGGATTGGTCCAGGTAATCCAAGGTTTTTCTGGGGTGGTGGGGGTCCAGCGGAAGCCATTGTTGAACAGATTAGCGGGCACAAGAGAGAACAGTATACTCGATGACTGAGAACAATGAGACTGGCACGGCTAGGTCAGTAGCTTCGCTCCCGTGCCAGGCCACTTCATATAACATTAGACCAATCACAGCTAGCGGCGGAGGGATACGTCATATGACGTCCGATACGTCATATGACGTCAGCGATAACGCAACAGCGACATACTGCGCACCCCTTCCCGGGTCGCTTCCCGCGTATGGTCAAGAATGGACCACGCGAATAAAAAATGGCTCGGCGCATCTGGACCTCCAGCCGCTCGCCACGTAAATAATAAAATTTACCGCATAATTAAAACATTTAATTCTGGCAAGGCACCGGGTAAATGACCAAATGCGTAAACAAAAACCGTGTAAATCCAGACTATACTGTATTACAGGTCCATCACCGATTTTCCGGCACCCTTGGTTACAAAGCCTCGCCGGATTATCCATTTTACTGGACCAACCGAGGTCAGGTAATAATAATTCAACAATACACCTCTGACCCACTAAAGCACCATGGACTGCTAGAAACTTAAATTAAACAAATATTAAATGTAAATTAAATGTGAAAAAGCCATTTTTTTCTAAAAAACAGTTTTTGTAATACTGTATAGCCCAGAATGCAACGCCTAGCTTTAACCTAGGTATGTTAATGCCTAGCAATAACTTGCCAGGCCAACATACAGGCAATTAAAACATCTAATAATTACTTAATAAGTAATATTAGGAAGACACGTCGCTACCTGGCATTTAATTGCAATTGTCGAAACCCCCTCCTTCACCCTCCATCATACTCACTGCCACCGTCATCTCTTGCCTTAGAGCGAGCAGTAAACAAAAGTCAACTCTCGAGGGGTGGAGGTGGGTGGGTTATCGGCGTCGCATTCTGGGCTATATCACAAAAACTGTTTTTTAGAAAAAAAATGGCTTTTTGTTCAACCCCAGAATGCGACGCCTAGCTTGAATACCCAAGCAGGAGGTGGAGAGGGAGGTGACTTTACATACAAGGCTCCGCTAGGTTAGGTCCAGATTATGATTATAAACCGTTTGGAATATTTTCAAATATTAGGAACATTTACCGGAAGGTAAAATGTTAATTTACATATCTCAATTAGGATACTCACTTTATTATGGTAATGAAGAAGATCTCCAAAAGCCCATTTTCTTGATCTAACTGAGACTCATATGCCGCAGAAAGGCCACAGACCCTGCGTATTTCCTAGTGTTATGTGCCAAAAATTTCTTGCCAGAGTCTGCTTGATTCACTAATTGAGATAAAGATTTTGTTATTTGACTAAAAGACAATTTCTTACCATCCCTGGATGAAAAACATAGGGGCCTTGATTAGGGAATCTGGTTAACCATTCCTGAAGATTTTTAACTGGGCACAATATATGAGGAACCCTTGTTTCATCCATTAGCCATTTTATCCTAATAGGTTGAGCTTGAAAATCTTCCCTTTCATTTTTTTTAGGATCTCCGTAGGAAAAAGGGTAACATCCTCCTCAGAAAATACCTATAATGATGGATTATTGGAAATTGAAATCAGTTCACTGATTCTCATACCTCTTGCTATTGCTAGAAGGAAGGCTCTTTCTGGAGTAATTTATCCCAATTCTGATTTATATTGTAATTAGGCCCCATAAGAAATTTAGTAAATTTTTCCAGAGACCAAGGTGGGATTCTCTTAGGCCGAGGGGGTCTCTAAATGAAAAAGGACGATCTTAGCATCTGATAAATCCTTGGGTTCAAAGTAATATTAAAACCCCAAGCCAGAGGGTCAACCAATGCTGATTTATAAGATGCAATTGTCGATCCTTGAAGGCCTTTAACTCTGAACAGAAATTCTAAAAATTCGAACACAACTGTTTCCGACAATGATTATGGAGTTGTTAACTTGATAAAATGTTGAAAAAGTTTCCAAGCTTTCTCATATTGCATAGAAGTTTGGGGTCTATGACCTGCTAATACTTGGTTAACTATATTGGAATTACCCAACAACCTATTTAAACTCCTTTTGAGAAACTCCAAGCGTGAAGTACCAAGGATATCTCGAACTGAGAATGCAGTACCTGGTCTAGACATCCTTGTTGCAATGGTAGTGGATGCGGGCACCAGTCCAAC